GCAGCACCCACCGCGGCCACTTGCCACAGTGTGGCCGGTGTAGGGTGACATCAGATGTGAGAATCGGGACTTGGGGACCACACCCTGAGATGCTGGAGGGCCTGGAGAAAAGTATTTTTTCTCCTTTTCCCAGCTGTGCCCAGCCATGTCCTTTTGTTTTGTTGATCAGGAGTGCACTCCTCAGTGTGTCCCATCCCAGCTCTGCAATGGAAGCACGTGGGACATGCTGGGGCAAAGTCATAGAGGGGATGGGCGAACTCCCCACAGCAGAATGTCACTAAGCTCCAAGGGGACAGTTTCATCATGACAGACAGGGAATGCAGCACATGGGCCAAAGAGGGTACAAGCCCCCTTGGGAGCTAATTCTTGGGTATCCTAGCATGGGACACTGGGGCACAGGAGCCTCCCTGCACCATGGCAGGGAGCTGGGGAAGGATATGAACATGTGGCTGCAGACTGGGAGTTGCTCATACACCTCCTGGGTGACATCACTCCCCTGGGACCATGCACTGGGAAGAGACCCAGCTCCCCTCTGTGTCAGGCAGTGGACGCCAGGCAGTGGCACTGGGGTGAATGACTACAAGTGAGCCCAGCATGGTGCTCCACACCCTGCCATGGCCCCATGGGACTTGCCCACCCATCCTGCCCCTTGTGATCCCATTCATCCAGGCTCCTCCGGGGCTGCACTTCCCAGCTTGGCACAGGCAGTGGGCTGGGGAGCCAGCATGGGGCTGAGGGGTGGCTGCACCCGAGGACCCTGAGCTAATGGATTTGGAGTTTCCAAGGTCAGGCTCCCACTGCGAGCAAGAAAAACATTCCCAGGGAAGGGCCATGGGAAAGGCCCCCCCTGCGGCACTCCCAGCCACTGCCTCATAGCCCAGCCTGGCATCCCAGGCTGCTCGTGCAAGGAGGTGGCTGTGTCCCCCTGAGGAGGGGTGCTGGACAAAGGCTGGGTCACACCAGCTGCCCAAGGGGTACATGGTGTGGTGAGGGTGCCCGGCTGTGCCAGAAGGGGATTGGGGGAAGGGGGGGTCATGCATGGGGTGTAGGAGGTGTTGTACAGTTCTGGGGGATGAGGGAGGAGACGGTATGCTTGGCCAGGGCGGGGGACGCGTGTGCCAGTTCCCAGACAGCCAGCTCAATATCCATCCTATCCCCCCTGCATGGGCACTGACCCCTCCCTCTGCACTTGCAGCGAGCATGGACCAGCGACAGGGGCTACCAGAGCTGAGACCTGCAGGACCTGCCACGCACCTGCAGCCCAAGGTGAGCCCAGGTGTGTCTGGCC